TGCGTTTTGTCTGTGGAGCCAGGCATCCCTGGAGTCCGTCCCGCGGCAGTTACTGACCCGTGACGCCAGGCGACGCCGGGCAGGTGTCAGAGGGGCTCAGGACGCTGGCGTTACCTTGGTTGTCCGGGGGTATCCTTTATTCCTTAGGGAGAGCTCCGAGCTTCCCGGAAGCAAAGCCCTTATTTCCAGGGCCAGGCTGCCGCCCTCCCTCCCTTGGTGCCCGCCCCGCCGGGGAAGCCCCTGCCTGCTCCCTCCCGGATGGCTCCTGCCACCCTGGGAAGTCCTGGGAAGCCTGGCGGGGCCGTGCTTCAGCAGGCTGCAGGGCCTGGCTTTCAAGCCTGCCTCCTCCTCGGTGTGTGCGGGCGCACCGCGGGGCAGAGGGCGGGTAGGAAATCTCCGGTGCCCGGTTTGAGGTTTTCCTGGGCTCTGGCAAGCGGCACCTGAGGAGAAGGTCTTGACCGTGCATCAGGGCGACCGTGAAAGCCATTTCGTGGGCCTTGGCTGCAGGCAAGGGCTTTCACATTGTATTGAAGAACTTCGGCATCCCGGTGTGCCGAGGAAGGAGAGTGGTCACGGGGCGTGTCGAAGACCTGCCCCGAGATGTGGACAGGACGGGGATCCCGGCCAATGCTTTTCTCCGTGTGCATTTGGCAAGTTGTCAGTGCTCCCTCTAACTCCTCTGCAGCCCAGTCAAAGCCGTAACCTTGGGCAGATTTTCCACGGTACCTGTGGCTGGGCCTGCCCTCCTGCCTCCGAAAGGCGACGAGCTTATCAGGAGTGTGTGGAAAGGCTCGCAGATGGGTCCAGTCAGCAGAAAGGCGCATCCAGGGGCCTGGAGGTGCCCTGAAACACAGGCCCTGTGAGAACAGCACACCCTGAAATACACACCGAGCTGTTTGGGGTGCCCTGAGAGGCACGCCCAGGGGTCTGGGGCAGCCAAAGGCACGGCGAGGGGTCTGAGGGTGTGCTAAAATGCACAATGCCGAGCTCGGGCAATGCTGAGACTGTGGGGCGTGGGAGGGAGTCAAAAGGCACATCCAGGGGTCTAAGGCACACTGAAAATCACATTGAGAGATGCCGTGCGCCCTGACCGTCATATTGCGGGGGGCGGGAGGACCCAACAGGCCCACGCAAGGGGTCCGGGGTGGAGGGAGAGTCGGGAGGAATGCAGGAGCTGGTGGAAGCCCTTGTGCTCCATCAAAGCCCTCTGTTGGACTTCCTGGGGCAGTGGGGCGCATGAAGGTCTCGGGGGGGTCTGAAGCATAAGCGGATGCTGTTTGTGGGCTTTGCGTGGGTTGATTTGTTGTGCGCGGCCTCTGGAACTTCTTTCTCGGGCTTTACAGAGCTGGTTGCCTGATAGCAGGTCAGGCACGGAAAATCTTCTTTCTTCCTTTGCGCGCGTCCCTCTTGTCCTTTGTTTTGTCTGCTGGGCTTAGACCTCTCCAGCTCTTTACACAATCCTGCCCCCCTTGATAGTTGCCCATGGACTTCCTGGGCTAGGTCTGCTGTCCAACTCACTTTGGATCTTGCTTTTTCTCTCCCAGCCACTGGCGACCGTGGAACCGGATCTGCTGGGGATTCTTCCTGGACATGTCCTGCTCCTTCCCCAGTGTGAATGAAGTCCCAGATCCCCCTTCCAGGGCAACACCGCCCAAGCACGGTGCTTTGGGGGGGAAGAGTTATTAAAGCGGCAGAAACCCCTCACGCATGTTTGTGGAAATTCTTTGTCCGCGCCCCTCTGCCGTCCCTTCCCACCGCTGTCCCTTCCCACGCCGGCACAGCCTCGGGCCCAGCAAGGCTGAGTGGCTGGGGACACCTCCCCTTCCCTGCCACCCCCCCCACGGCGGGGGTCTCGGGGCTGCTGGAGGGGCTGCAGGTGCCGTCCCCAGAGGGCCCTGGGACTCTCGTAGCCCGGCTGCAGCTGCCGGGCCCGGGGTGCCTGGGGGGGGCCCC